TCGCTGCCTCACCTCCATCTCATCTCTCTGATCTCCCAAAGATCCCTGCAGTCCTACGCTTGGGGCTCAACCTGTCAGTTCACTGCAGGGCTTAATAGCGGCTGCAGCATAACATACATGATGTACAACTTATTGATACAACACCAGAACATGCATAATAAACTATCAATCTAAATAGAAAATATATGTGAAATGATCTGCTATGAAAGGAAAGATTGATCATTCACTCAGGATTACCGTCATAAGACTTAATAACATCAGAGTTCATATATATCACATACCTTAACTCTTATTATATCATATCTCATAATATATATCAGCTATAAAGTGTTGTTGTCAACCTTGTAGGTTATGTCAGTCTCAAGAAGTTAAATCATATTTTTCTGACATACTGTACAAGTAAATATGCTTTCACTATCACTATCAAACATGTGTCAAGATAATTTTGGGCATTCATATGATTTTTGTTTGCATTTGAACTCTCTGAAGTTCTTATCATGGAAAGGTGATCTATTTTGTAGGACTTTGGAAAGATGTAATATCATGGTTGGGAATCTTCCAGGATGTTCCTTATGTGATTTAAGATGCAGACCAGAAGCTTGGGGACCACATCTCAGGTGGGTTTTAATAGGACTTTAGGGATATGACTGTCCATTGTGTGGTGATTCATAGGACTATTACTATATTATTATATGATGATTGGCAAGTGTTGTGGAGTGCTGTGTCTTTTTTCCTTTAGTTCCTTCTCTTTAGTGTTCTGTCTGTCCCTCTATTCCAGATGTGGGCTGTACTGCACATCCATTCTGACTGTGTGGTAATTGATGAGAATCCAGGCATCTAGACACACTCTGTGATTCTATACAGTATGTGAAGAAGCTTCTGCTGGGCTAATTACACTAATAGAGATACGTTTTAAATCATTTTCATTCAGAGGAATCTAATTTTTCATCATGATATCAATGATATGTTTATAAATTATTATCATACTATGTTAATTAGCAGTTTCTATTTGTTGTGTCAAACAAATGACTGCAATTCAGGTGTCCATCTAGCAGAACATATTACTATCAAACTTTTATTAACTTTTTATTTCTGCGTTTTGCTTTTACTACAGAATACTAGTTTATGAACCCTCTTCCACTCGCCGGATATTCTATAAATTCAGGTGACGTGCAACTGAAGAAATAGAAATTATGTTTAATAGAAAGTATGACTTAATTGCAATTTCCTCGTACAATGATTCTGATAGCACAGTCTGATGATTTTTATTTTTGTTTTTACAAAAAACAAGGCGATTCTTCTTCGTTATATACAACGTCGGGTTTTTAATTAAAGGGAAAAGATAATACTTCCGTAACTGTTTCGCTACTATGCTGGTTAAGAGCTTGAACCCTGTCCGCGATCTCGTGGGGATCTTAAAAATAGCAATCCTGATGAGCCTCAGGTGTTGTAGCTGCACATTCCCACATGCAGCAGAGTAGGGCGTGCAGAGGGATGTGTGCTCCATTGTCACACAAGGGTTTTCAAAACATTTTTTGAAGCGCTGCAGTTGAGCTCCCCTTGTAATGAAGGGGACAAAATTCAGCATCAGCACAGTGTAACATGACAAGGTGGTGATGAGACTTTAGTGTTGGAGAGCTGTGATACACAGTTCAATGAATATTATGAAGCTGACAAGAGCTCCACACTCACAAGTCACTCACAAGTCATTCAAGAGCAGTCTGAGTAAAACTGTAGGAATGATTTTTTGAGATATGGCATTGCTGCCTGGCAGTGCTGCAGCCCTATTCCCGAGGTGCTGACTGTGTGGAGTTTGCAAGTTCTTGCCGTGTTCATGTGGGTTTCCTTCATGTGCTCCTACCACAGTCCGAAGTCATACTGGTAGAATAACTGGCTGCTGGGAAACGTTACCCCAGTGTGAGTGTGTTTGTATCTGTCTGCCCTGTAGTAGACTGGCTTCCAGTCCAGAGTGTATCCTGCCGTGCTCACTTTGCAAGTTAAACAAGTAATGTAGCATCATATTGTATTCTGTATATATGGAACAAGTAATAGGTTTATTCCATGCTGAAAAAAGAAGAAAGAAAACACTACGTTTCGGCCATGGACACCTCAACAGGTGCACACGGCCGAAATGTAGTGTTTTCTTTCTTCTCTTTTCAGCATGGAATAAACCTATTACTTGTTCCTTTAAAGCCTATGCATGCTGACGCAGCTCCCCATCTGTTATATGAACTGTACTTCCCATCCAGAGTGTATCCTGCCTTGCATTCTTTGCAAGTATTTGAAGTAATGTAGCATCATACTGTATTCTGTATTGTAACAAAGGGAGGGTTACAAAACGGGAGAAAATCCGCAATTGACCGCGCAGTTTAGTCAATCAGTGAAATAATTATTTAATTCATAACCCCCGACTTGTAAGTGATTTCTATACCCGAGCGGCTGGTATAATTAGAGGCACGTGAATTCTTTGTTCTCTGGCACAGCTTTGTTGAGAAGAGTAATAATTCAGGCACACATAGTTAAACAAATATTTATTATAATAACAAAACACACAAACTACACAACACACAACATCCAGGTGGGGCTGCACATTGGTGGTGGTGGAGGGGAGTCCCCATTACCTGTAAAGCGCTTTGAGTGGAGTGTCCAGAAAAGCGATATATAAGTGTAAGCAATTATTATTATTATTAACACACAACAACACACAAAGTTACATTATATTCAGTATTTACTGACAAGGCATTTCAGAGGCCTAACATTCGGGTCACCCAGAAAACCCCAGACTGTTACTAAACATTAAACATTAAAGTTCCCTAAAAACACAGAACAACAAACTCTCTCTAACAAGGTTCAGGTACTGTACTTAGCACCAGTCAGGATTTGTTTGATCATTCATGATCATGAAGTAGCAGCTCTTGCCTGGTGCAGACTCTCCCTTTTCCCTGCTTCTTCCTTTTCTTTCTCTCTTTCTCCTGCTCTTAATTTGATCTTCTGTATGTCTGTACTGCTCCCTGACAATCATTAATCCACAACTTGCCTAGGTATACCAAGGTAAACTTTACTATTGTTTCTGCTCAAGGGACCCCCTAAACCTCAGCAAACATCCTCCTGGCTTTGAAGTTAGGAGTGTTTACTCTTCCCAGTGTCACAAACTTGATCTAAAATCTAAGAGACACTTCTCAGTCACCTAAAGCTGAACAGTATATATGTGTTCCTTATGATTTTTCTTTCTCTTCTTGTATCTACTGTATCTCTGTAATATTAAGCACACCACAAAAACATATTTAACCAAGAGGTTTATTTTGGCAAAAATGTTAACCTTGTCCTTGTGTCTCTGAACTGGATATAGTGGTGAGAAAATGGATAGATGGACATTTTGGTGCCACAGGAGAAAACACCTCTCATGAGCTGGAAAATAAACCCTCTTGAATATCAGAGAGATCAGAAGTAATTGGTACAGTATCTCTCTTCAGCCTCACAGTCACAATTATGGAAAAGAGATAAATTTAAATCTACTTATTTGAATAAGTGCACCTGCAGTAGGTCCCAGCTCATGAGATGCTGTGCAGGCCTGCTAAGGGAGGTTTTTGTACGGCTGTGTAACGCTGTGTAACACTGTGTAAACACCCGGTTACTGCTGAGGTAGTGACCACTCTGAAAGTATTAATCTGCCGCATCTTCAGCCTGGACTCCTGTGATGGTCAGAGTGAAGTCAGTCCTAGATCCACTGCCACTGAAACACTCTGGGATCCCAGTATAACGTTTAGTTGTATCATAGATCAGGAGTTCAGGTGTTTCTCCATCTTTTTGTTGGTACCAGACTAGGCTGTCATTAAAATACACTGCAGGACTGGTCTAACAGCTCACAATGACTGTCTGTCCAGGGAGAACAGATTTCACTGCTGGAGTCTGAGTCACAGTAACTGTCCACTGGATTCTGAAAACAAGACAAAACATTCTTCTTAATTTCTTTTAGCTATTTTACTTTTTTTCTGTAAATCTTGTTTATGTACCATGCTAAAAGCTATAAACTACATCACAAATTTAAAAAACGACTATGATTAAAACAACACCCAGCTAAGTATTAAATTATACCCTGAACAGAGATGAGGAGAGTCCAGATGAAGATGGTGATGAAGGTCATTGTTGCTGTGGGTTCTGTTGCCATGAAGGGCAGCTCTCAGTCATGGAGTTTTAAATTCACAGGGCTATAAACACTCCCAGAGCACTGAAGCATGTGCTGCCAATGTAAAGTGTCTCTTCTTTGCAAATTATCTTCCTGGATTCAGCAACACTTTAAGCCAGTCAGTGCTGGAAACACAGGCTTGGTGCTGTGTGTTGTGACAGAACAAGATGAGCAGTTTAGCATGAACACTGACAGCACAGCAGGACTAGACAGAGAGCAGCTTTATAAGGAGCAGAGGATGAGAAGTTAACATCTTCTTAATGTTCAGTGACAGGTGGTTAAGTTCCTCCTCAGTTCCAGAATTTTCTGTGTGGGACTAGAGAGTGAGAAATTGAATGAAGCATCTCTGATGTCTTGGAGAGACTCTGGGGGAGTGCACCTTCTATTGACACAAAAAGATGATTTTATTTTCAGTAAAATTATATTTACCAATATCTGCTCCACACAAATTGTCTTGGCACCTGAAAACCATTCCTATACATTGTGTTTCAAAATGGTGCTTATACTTGTCTTGACTGCTTATATAAAATAATCAAAGAAGGTACAAGCTGCTCAGAGACACAAGAAAGATTACACATGAGGAGGCTAGTGGGCCCATCTTGCTTTCTTGGTTTAAGTTAGCTAATTGGAAGATTGTGGGTTGAAATCCCAATTGGACCACTGCTGTTGTGACTGCTCCAGTAAAATGCTTGGCTGGGTCAATGAGCTTTCTTAAAAGTGAATTACTCTGTGTTTTTTGATAAACCGAGATGCTCATGCAACCTCTTCTTGAATAGAATTGCCTTCAACACCACAGCTGTGACAGCTTGTTCCACACACCTACACTTCTGTGTGTAAGGAGTTACTTCCTGTTCTTGATGCTATAAACATTCTTTCCACTCTGTGGTGGTTCAAGTCAAGTCTTTGTCCAGGGCCTCTCCTGGGAGTGAGAATTGGACACACCTGGCTTGACTGCCTGGTCAGTATCCTGTGTGACTGGAATGCCGCTGGAGTTCATGTGATTGGTCCAGTGATCAGGGCCGGCCCTGGGCACAGCAGAACTAGGACACTGCCCAGGGCCCTGAGGCCACCAGGGGGCCCCCTCAATGTGCAACACAACATCTTTTTAATCGATAAGTTCTAGTGTGAGTGAAAATTCCATGTAGTGGCTTCTGTTGCTGTTTTGGTTTATCCTAATGGAAGCCCAGTCAAAAAATGATAAATCATAATAATGTAATCTCCATAGATGGGGGGTAACTGAAAGCCCCTGCTGCACATTGTGTGAAAGAATAGGCAACCTTGAACATGTGTTATCAGCCTGCAGTGTGGCACTAGGGCAAGACAGGTATCGGTGGCGCAACGATAAGGTACTCAGGGCACTAACCTTGAATTTGGATACATTTAGAAAAGGTATGAAACCTCAATCAGCACGATCCAACATTAGCTGTATCAAGGCTGGAGAAAAGAGCACAGCACTTGCTGGAGTTAGACCTGCCGGCATTCTTCAAAGACACTTCAGAAGAGATTGGTCAATGGAGGTCGACTTAGAAAAGAGACTTGTATTTCCAGACAAACTTGTGACCTGATGAAGTCATGTCATCTTCCCAGAGAAAGGTTATAATCCTTATTGAACTGACAGTTCCTTGGGAAGAGATGTGCCAAGAAGCTTTTGAGAGGAAAAAAGCAAGGTACGCTGAGCTTGTGGATAACATCAGAATCAAAGGGTGGAAAGCCTGGTCATTTCCAGTTGAGGTAGGATGCCGTGGTTTTCCAGCCCAGTCACTTTGGAGGATGTTAGGAGAGCTGGGGATCAGTGGCAAAAATAGAAAGTCAGCGGTACAACAGATGATAGAGACATCAGAAAAAGGCTCATGCTGGCTCTGGTACATTATGGTCGCCACAGGCAAGCTGATCATCACTGCTGTCCCGCTATCCTGAAGAAGTACTGTGTTACAGATAGACCAAGCTGATGATGCCAAGGCAGACTGTTTCATCTCGTCTGTATTTGATACATATACATACGTAATGTTTCTGAAGCACAGAAAGGAAGAGTGGGATAATGGATCTCAAAATAGAGGTACGCTCAAATTATTATAATAATGCATGATATGCATGATAATATCGTAATTTGTATTTCATTCAGTTTTGAGTCTGTCAGCTCAATGTAACTAGAGAATGGTAGACAAGCCACATTTTCAGGTGAGACACGTACACTGCTTGAGATGTTTTACTAGAAGTTAGCAGATTCACATTATCCACAATTGTACACATGCTATGTGTCACCTGCTGAAAATCAGAGCTGTCTGGACAAACAAAAATGTGAAAGTGAGCGTACATTACAAAAATAATGTTCAGCACTTATTCGTAATCAACATAAAAGCACATTGTTTTCCTTACGGTTTCTCCTGTATTTCATTAAATGAGTGTTTTGTAAACCCACAATCCTGTAGTCTTCAGATTGCAGTCGCTCTCCCAGTGACAGAGGCAGGAGCAGAGAGGAGCTTTTACAATTGATTCAAACATACTGTACCTGAGATCAGCCATGACACAAGGCTCTCTCAGTGGACTGGCCATCATCAGTCATGCAGTGGGTCGACTACTACCGTATAAAGATATTATTGATTATTTTTCCTCCAGTAAATCTAAGTAAATCAATTTTATAGAATGTTGTTTTTTATTAAACTTTCCCATCTGCTCAACCTGACTGATCTTACCTCCCTTGTTACCATTGCTGAGAGCACTAATCTCTTACGGAATTACATAATTTCATAAGTCCTTTCTTCAAAGGTTTAAATGCAACATTTTGTGAGTTATGATTGTGAAGTATCAAAGATCCTGTTTATCGTTAATTGTTGTTATTAATGTTCTTATTTATTATATTCAATATTAAAATATTACCTTTGTAAAGTTTGTGCTTTTTGTTCTTGTTCGTAACTTGTTTATTATGTGTTCTTCAAAACCGGTTAATAAGTTTTCTAGTTCTATAATTCATGTATTTAATTGTTCTATAAGCCTTTGTTGGAGCTGATAATAGTAGTGTACTCGCAAGATCCAATATTTTGTCAGCTAGGGCCGGCCCTGCCTTTCAGAAGCTGACTAGTTTGCATTTGGTAATTAAACGTGGTGTAAAACTGTGTGTAAATCCATGACTTTTTCAATTCAGTTTGGTTGATTGTATTAAGAGTTTTTCATAAGAAGACTGTGGTGTATAAGTAATCAGCTCTTTTACTGGATAAACACTGAAATAAGACCATCTGGCCTTTTGTTTTGGCTTCAGTGATAAAGTGATCACGTCTCCCAAAAATGAAAATGATATAACTGTGTTGGTCACAGTGACATATCCTCTTCTGATTGTAACAGAGCATGGAAAATTCACACACATTAACTCCCTTTTAACCAGAATAAAGTGTTGCCTGGACTAATTGTTTATTTTTTAATAATTATAATTTAAACTTGGTTTTTAACAGGTTTAACCAGGTGTAGAAATGTGTACTATCGAATGAGCAGCAGTGGTTGATTCTGTTTTGGCTGATCTGTTCTTTACCATTTTCTTTTTTACTGGCTGTCTGGCACCACAATGACCAAGGCTGCTCCTCTGTCAGAGTCTCTCCAGCTCTCACTGACTGTATCTGTCTGTGAGCTCCTGTACTCCTAGACTCTTCACTCCGCAACCCTGGAACCTTCAGCTTTCACTACCTTCTCAGTCCCCATCCGGGGCTGCTGCTAGAACCGGCCCCCTTCTGGGGTGATCTCTCACAAGCTCAGGAGTCTCCCCACGAGACAAACCTGACAGTGAGGCTCTAACCCAAACTGCGAGACTCTGCTACTCACTGTGCCTTTGACAGAGAGAGACTCACCCTAACCAAGGCAGACCACTTCTGTCTGTTTTCTGATCCTTTATTTAAGAAATTGGGCTTCCCACAGGTATCCCTAATTCCTCCATAATCTTGTGTGTCAATTGTTAATGCTCTTCACTATGAATCTGTGGACATCTGGAGTGTCTCCACACTGCTCTCTGGTGGCCAAACCATAAAGATGCCATGGCATCGTCTTTAACAACATGCCTGTGTAGCTTCTACTGTTGAATACAGACATACTGTATCTCTTTTCCAAACGTACTGGATTCTGATTAATCCAGTTCAGAGATGGAGGTTATTAGGAGGCCATGATTGGTAAAGGCCAATGGGTAATTTGGGCAGGACACCGGGATAACACCCCTACTCTTTTCGAGAAACACTCTGGGATTTTTAATGACCACAGAGGGTCAGGACCATAGCTATACTAAGGCATTAGAAGTTTTCCTATTATTCAGAAAGGTACTGTAACCTGTGCTTAGTAAAGTTCTTTTTTCAGTTTCCACAGTCCAAATTTGTGGTTACAGCTAGCGAGATGACTTATAAGTTTAGGTAATTTTTAATATACAGTATTTGTTGTGAGGGAATTTATATTCTTGACTGGACAGCACAGCTGGTGTGTACCTGTGAGGCTTATCATTAACTCGAGATGTAGGCAGCAATAATAAGCTGATAATTGGAGCAGGCAGAATAGAGCAGGACTGTCGCTTTGGGAAAAGGACCAGTGGAAATTGAGAGAAAAGACACAAGGTATATTTAAACAGGTGTTACTGTTTGGATGTTCTGACGTTTGTAACTAGTCCACCTGCATTTCTCATTAGGTAAACAATTATTTTAAATGTTGTAGCTGTAGGACTCCAGTAAGGTGTATGACTTTTGGTTTAACTGTTTTTTATATCAAAAAAGGATTCCATTGACCTGTTCAAAGTAGGAAGACTGACTATAGGTGTAACTTTGAAATAGACACGTTATTAATCAGACATTAGTGTATTGAGGTGAATGAGTGCTCAGGTGATGCCAGCACCCATATCACTCTGTAGCTCATAACTGGCAGTCCACTGAATCTAAGCAGGTGTGAGCCTGGTCAGTACCTGGATGGGAGACCTCCTGGGAAAAACTAAGGATGCTGCTGGAAGAGGTGTTAGTGAGGCCAGCAGGGGGCACTCATCTTGCAGTTCATGGGGGCCCTAATGCCCCAGTATAGTGATGGGGACACTATACTGTAAACAGGCTCCGTCCTTTGGATAAGACGTAAAACTGAGGTCCTGGCTCTCTGTGGTCATAAAAAATCCCAGGGTATTTCTTGAAAAGAGTAGGGGTGTAACCCTGGTGTCCTGCCCAAATTTCCCCATTGGCCTTTATCAATCATAGCCTCCTAATAATCCCCATCTATGAACTGGCTTCATTACTCTGCTCTCCTCCCCACTGATAGCTGATGTGTGGTGAGCGTTCTGGGGCACTATGGCTGCTGTTGCATCATCCAGGTGGATTCTGCACATTGGTGGTGGTGGAGGGGAGTCCCCATTACCTGTAAAGCACTTTGAGTGGAGTGTCCAGAAAAGCGCTATATAAGTGTAAGCAATTATTAATATTATTATGTGTGACCTGTTTATTATATTTAAATATCTTGTAGAGATATGTACTGACATCTAGAGGTGAAACTGAGAACTGACAGTGAGCTGATCTCTAGAGTTAAACTAAATTTGGACAGGTAATCATGTTCCTAAACCAACTAGGAACCTTACATTTATTTTTATATATGCATCTAGTTTGAAACGTAAATGCTGTGCATTTTGCACAATGTTCATCTGGTATGGAAATTTGATATGTACAAGCTGTGAGGAAAAGGAAACAAAATGGAATTTTATGCATAAAAACAATACACACTAACTCACAAAACTTAGGAGAGAGATAGATATTCTGCATCCATCTACTTTAATTCAAATTCACGAGGAATGACAGCAGCCGAAAGCTTGGGAGAAATTAGAATCGTTTATTGTGATGTGGAGATTTGGCGTAACCCGCTTGGCTGAGGGCCAACCTCCCGGCCGTTGGACGGGGAGGATAGGACCCCCATGCGACCAATGGGGTAGCTGCAAAGGTGGAGAGGGGGTGGAGGAGGGATGCAGAAAACGAACGAGGAAGAGGAGAGGGTGACGTTTGATATTTATGGAGACCGGTTGCTTACGTCAGGATTAGTGAGAATTGCAGCAGCTGTGTCGAATAGCGTGGCTGCCTTCATTCCTCCCGAACTTTCATTAAAAACTCCATTATAAACTGGGCAATTACTATTGCTCAAGTTCAACATTGCAGTTAATAAAAATTCTGCATAATGTATTTCTAACTTAATCCATTCCATTCCTGTATACCATTGTCCTCTTCTTCACTCTGACTGTCCTAGAGAGAGTCAGAACTGATTCAATGCATTAGCATGAATATTATTTTTCTAATTCAGGCTTTCTGTAAGTCTGTCAGATCCATGTACATACTTTAGACTAGGATCACAGCACTCACACTGCTCTCTTGGTTTATATTAGAAACACTCATACAGGATCACAGCACTCACGCTGCTCTCTGGGTTTATATTAGAAACACTCA